TTGGATAGGTCTCAAAATTTGTTGGACCATATTTTGGGTTTTATTAACGTTTTAAATTTTTTGGCAGTGTTGCGCCGCTACAGTTCGCGGTAACAAAGTTCACGTCACATTAAAAAAAAAAACCAAAGTTCCAACAAACGCAACGACCTATCCAACAATATCCACCAAATCGAATACTACATTTATGAACAATTATTCAACGTTTTTGACGATGATGCGCCGTCAGCGTGAAGTTAGCGGCATAAAATATAAATTGTTAATACAAACTAAAATATGGTCCAACAAATTTCAAGACATATCCAACAATCACCAACAAATAATCAACAAATTTATTGGATAAGTCCAATCGAAAACAGTTAATATTGCGCCACCAACTTCACGGACGTAGATATATCCTTTATTTAAATTATGGCATAGCTATGGCTTAATAAATATCAGTATAGTTTGAACTATAACGACAGATAAAAGAATAATATTAAATTTAAATACAACGAGTGAAAATAAATCTCAGAAATAATTAACTGTACACAGCGACGGCGTGATAGGGTGTTTTATAAGATGAAGGCCTCATTACCAATAATGAGGTGATACCCCCGGCCTAAAAATATGAATTATTGACAACTGATACTTAACAATTAATATTTTTTTTGTTTAAATAATTACTTAATTATTAATTATATTTATATTTCTGTTATATACTATTACTGTTTGTTATCTTTGAGTAAATAATTAAGTTAATATAGGTGTTATTTATTACTAATTCAGTTTACTAACTTTCATGTATTAAATATTCATTGTCAAGGTAACCAGAAAATATTTCAGTAAACCATAGTTTTTAGTAAAATTGATTATTTGTTAATTATATAAAATAATTAAAAAATTACCACAGAGTCCTAAACTCTGTCGATTAAATGTCACATGTTTTACGTGGCTCGGTATATTTGTCATTAGTTCAGTGTTTTCTTGTATTAACAGACAGCGAAAAAAAAAAAAAAAAAGGTACAATGTATTATTCAAATATATGAAGTGCCCAATTTTATTGATATTCATAGAACATAGTTGTGGAATGGTAAATGGGCGAAGAGCAGGGACAGTGTTTAGGGGCTTTATCCCCATGACTTTGTCTAATAATACTTAGATGGTGGTGATCAACTTCTAAAATGTATGTTTGCCTCATGAAATAAACAAGTTTACACTACCACTGCCTGTATTCTGTTATTATAATGAAAAACTTTACGATATTAATTTAGAATATTGTAGTACACTTTAATTTTCATGGTTGAGTACTACCCATTTTACCCAATTTCTCATAAACTTTTATTTAGATTCTAGTGAAGCTGGGAATGTATTGATTATAAATGACGTGACTTTTTTTCCCAACCAGAAATCTTAGTCCAATGAAAAACATTATAGGAATTATTTTTTAAAATTTTTTATTTCTAGTTGGTTTATTGAATAAATCATTTTTAATTTCAATGTAACTGCATTGAAAACAGTGAAAACCGAAAAAAACAGGAAAGTTTACGGAAATAACGGTTCATTACTAAGATACATGATTTCGATTTTTTCCTGTTACCTATTTACCTATTACCCATTATTAGAATGTATAATGAACAATTGAATCAATAAAGTTTTTCCTTTCTAAATGAAAGGGGTTTGCATAACAATGATCCAATTTAACATTTCAGATAATCATTCTAGAATACGTATTACAAATAAAAAAGATTTTTTTCAATACTTCGTGTGATTAAAATAAAATGTATTCTGTTCGGTATAAAATAAATAAATCCGACATTCTTCGCTGTTCGCACTGTTGTTCATTAATTATTATTAGATAATTTTGATAATATACTGAAATTAACGATAGATGATTGCAACAAAATAAAACGATTCTGAGTGGAAATCGGTAAATTGATAAGGTTATGCAGTATTCCAATGCAAGCCTATTATAAGGTTGTACAATACAAATATTATTTCACAATCACCAATATTTGTTAAATCCGGTGTTTATATCGCAATATATATAATATGTAAAATTGATGTCGTACAATATAGTTTATAGCTGTTATAAATACTAATATTGATAGAAAAATGATCTAATAACATCGTTATTTTAATTTTTTTTCGCATATCATTAAAGTTCGAATATACAAAATGTATACAAAGTATGTTCCGGTACACCATCTTGTGGGTTTACTTAGGCCTATATTTTTAAACCCGACCCGACTCCTACCCTCGATTGAAAAGTCCAGGCCGTTGGAGCCTCACACTGTTCTCATTTATGAAACTCAAGTTCTTCTAAATATAAAATTATAAAATGTAGTCCATCCGGTCCAGCCTGCTTATGAACAAATATGCGGTCCAGTTTGAGTAGAGCTCTAGTACCTATATAGGTAGTAAAATAAATAATCATCAAAATCGCTACGAATTAACACGTTTTAAATAATGTAAAAAGTTTTCATCTACAGCACTGTGACGGCTCGGAGTAATTAAAAAAACGACCTCTCTCTCGCTCTCTCTCTCTCTTTCTCTTTCTCTTTGAGGTACCATCTGTGATTATCATCAATTATTTCCATATATTCTACCATATCCATACACGAGGTTTCATTGGGTTATAATATATACAACTTTTTATACACTCGTACTTCTATAGTATACCATCAGAAAAAATAATTTAAAAATGACATTCGCTCTCGTAATCTAAAAATACCGTTCGATAATATTATTAAGAAACCTGTGCCCTTAGATTTTACAAATATTCTCGACAAACACCCAGGAAGGTTATAGGTGTCACGTTAAGCACTCACTAACCATATAGGAAGTTCCAAATTTAGCTCTCAGGAAGGTACTGAGTACGGTCTTTATTGAATTCCAAATAACAGAGTTTCAACCGTCCCCAGTATCGGTCGCCAGAAAGCAAGTAGGAGTCTTTCCGAAATACGTGCCATTTAAGTCCTGAAAAATTCATCGAAAAATCTGAAAAAAAAAATGCAGAATACATCGCTGGGAATCGAACCACGGACCTAAATCTAACTTGACTAAAACTTGACACCTAACGCCTAACCACCATTCTACCTGTGGAATTATTAAACATTTATCATTTCATGAATACATAAGTTATCAAGTTAATTTCAAACAATGAATTGATACCTCAAATGAAGAAAAGAGCAAAGGTCACCCCTTTGAGTACCAAAATTTTATATACCTGAGGAGTTCGAAACACTTCCCGGTAGTATAGTGTGTCAAGGGGTGGTAGATTAAATGAGCTAATTTTAAGACCGAAAAAGAAATAGAAATGTTCCAGTGTCAAAAATAATCCATTTTTTTTTTTCATTTGTATAAATAGCAAATGACAAATCGAATAGCTATAACACGGATCGATAGATACAGGAAAACGTTGAAATGCCGATATGGGAATTTGTTTTTTTTTTTTATTTTTAAATATGAACACATCACAACCAGTACCTACCGTCGGGGATTAAAAATGTATTCAATTCACGTTTACTCGTACATATGTATAAATACTATACAATAATATTATATCGTGCGAGTTTTAATTTAGTCATACGATTTATTATTTTCTCGTTAGAATTCCTACCCTCCCACATCTCCTCTATAAAACCGTTCGATTTCAATATACAAGCGAACATTACATATATATATTATACGAGTATATGTATATTGATATACATAATATTTATACTTTGTATAAATACAGTCAATATACATATATCATATTACACGATGCACCGTATAAAATTAATAATAATATAATACGAATATACGCGTTTTGTTCGGCTTAACGGAATATTTTTTTTTCACTTTGACCGGCGCCGCGCTTTTATTTTTTTACATGTTTTTTCATCTAACACTCGCTTATACACCACGAGCGTCTGTATACATCAATGGTACGTATAATAATAATATTATTAAAATACGTCGTGCTATTAATTCTTTACATATTGAGTGAATAAAAAAGAGATTTCTGCGGACAGCGAGCGCGAATTATACTATATTATATTATAATATACATGCACACGGAAAAGAGATGACTGCGGTATTATAATAATATTATGTGTATGGGCACGGGGTCGTTTTCGAACTGCAGTGTATAATATACACGGATATTGTATATTATAAAGAAAATCGTATGTGATGTATAAAAAAATAACAATAATAATACAAAGAGGAGAGCTATTAAACGCATCCGAAACGAAAACGACCCGACGATAACGTCGATAATAGCGGCTGTATTATACAGACAGATCAATATAACGTAGAGAGACACGCTTATGGAAAGTGTTAATTTTTTTTTCGAAAAATTTAAACAACGAGTAGCTCTAAAATGTTACATTATTCTTATTATTATTATTGTTTTTATTTTTTCGACATTTGATTACACTAACTGATGTGGTAGTGAAACCACTATAACATTTTGATTTTCAAACTACCACCTATATATTACAAATTCTATAAATAGATAAAGTTTAGTTCAAATACATTTTGAATATTGAAATTTGTAATTCCACGTCATGTCTCGTTGATGAGTTATTTCAATTTTAAGAAGCCACACAGTGGAATTTACCATCTTTGTCTTTCTAATGGGCAATGTATAACTATATCAATAATTTGTAAAATGTAAAATAAACAAAAAGGCATTTAAAATATATATTGGTTTCGATGATAAAAAATGTACTGATAGCTGTCATCTAACGAAATTACAGCTAAGAGAACGTACTTTTCCGGTTTCGGTGGTTTCTTAGATAAGCCCTGTACGTTTCATTACCCGGCTCTTCTAGAGGACACGGGTCTCTCCAAAGCGTTAGATAATAGTAACGAATTTATTCGCGTCACGAAGCTAACACGCAAATTCTCATGTAGCGACGAGTGCCGAGGCTTCCCCATAAAGTCGCTTCAGCAAGAAAATAAGACTATGGGCTCCTTCCTCCGTCTGGCCAGTCGGGGGTCTTCTTACGCTCCGACCACTGGGTTGTACCGTGTTATGCTCTCGGCTGATCCGCTTCCCCCGGCAACGGGGATTGTGTTATCAATAGCGAATCGGGAGACACCTGGGGTCCCCAGTGTGGGATAACCTTCCATTCCGTTGGCCAATGGGTGTCGAAATATGTCCGATTCACGACATCTATGGGGCGTAAATCGGGTGGTCTCTGGGCCCCGGCGCCGACCAGGGACCCCAGTGCTAGCCGTAGACTTATCATGCGGCCGGTGCCGTGCGGTAGGCTTCGACGACTGGGCTTATGAGTAACGCTAGGTAGTGGTTTATTAGCCGGGGGATACTCACCTAACGGCGGCCACACGGTGAGCAGACGAAGCGACCAACTAAGGAATGGTTATTGAGGGCCACGCTTCGAATGTATTCGGGGTTCTGCCCCATACTCTCCGTCGGCTATTTACTAGCCAACAATTTGCAATAGCTAAAAGAAGGTCCGGCGGTCGGTAATTTAAAGCCCAGAGTATCCACTGATAGCTGACATGTTGAAGATTCCCTCGTCGACGTTTTACAATTCGCCAAACGTTCAAATCATTATCGACGATGCATAAATCTTATTTTACATTCATTATTCTTACTATTAGTATTATTATTTAATAACTGCAATTTTTTAAATAATTATAATTTCAAAAAACGACACCTACGGTTGTCTTCAGAACGCAGTCATCTACAAATTGTATAACAATAGATGCTTTATCTCTAAAACCGATTTAAGGTCTTACAATTTGTTTCACGTGAACACATTAGAAACGGCTAATTCTGCTATGACGCCCAATAAAAGCGGGTCATCACGTCGACGCATGACGGCTCGACGGAAATTACAAATTTCAACGGCAAAATGCATTTAAATTAAAATTGATTTTTTACGCAAGTTGCCGTTCGAAAATCGAAATGCGCGTTAATGGTTTCAATCACAGACATAAAAGTGACGAGAAAAATAAACGACCGCGTAACATTTTAAAGACGTTTTCCGAAAAAAATAAAAATCGCCTGAAAAAGTCAATACTTTCCGAGATAATGACGGGGTATCTGCGATAGTAATAATACGTCAGTCGCCCTGTATACAAGAGTCGAGTCGAGTGGGCAGGGGTGTGCGCGACCTTTTCGTCGCCAACTCGGCACAATGTCGGTACATATACTCGCATTATTGTTATATTGTGTTGTTTTATTGTAATAATACAATATATATTTTTTCGGGCGCGCGCGAGCTCGACAAATATAGGCCGGCGCGATGCATTCGGTCCGTCCGGCGGCGGTGCAGCGCGAATAATGCGTTTTGTTCCGCGAGAAAATCAGACACGAGGTCTTAGGATTTTTTTATTTATTTTTTTTCTACCGCGCAAAGTTAAAACAATATAACAATAATACGGTGTTCCGAGTGCTCGCGTCCTTTATCCCCGCACGCCCGGAACTTATATTTGGTTCGGTTCGGTCGCGCAGTTTCCGCGCGAAAAGGCGAAAAAAACGACTACTACAATAACAATAACCCCGAAATTATTCATATGCGTTTTCCTAGGGTAGACGAATAAAATAACAGACGCGCGGTATTGCAGAGAAAATAGAAGATATTGTCAAAAAAATATAGAAAAATATATGGACGGTGATTGGTGGGTATGTCGAAGATATCAAAAAAAAAAATCGAGCGGTTAGGGGCCGAAATACTAGAAAATTTCCGAAAAAACACGACGATCAAAATCGTTGATCACGTAGCTTCTTGTATGAACCTTTATAGTTTAAGTACGTTTATTAATGATTTATTTATAGTTTATGGTTTGTTTTTTTTTTAAGTACTTTTTATACTTTTCAGAAATAGTGAAAAACAAAATTGATTTTTGGAAAAATCGTATTATTTCTAGTTTTTTCTGATATTTAACTTTTTTTCGGAAATTGTTACCCTTTTAAATGGAGGTCAAAAATAATAAGATAGGTGAACTAAAACCTTATTCTGGAAGCCGTGGAAGAGTTAACGATCAAAGAAAGAGTGGCTATAAAGAGGTTTTTGAGGGATTAAGTTACGAGGGCGTGAAAAAATAGCGATGAACATGGATATAAGGAGAAACCGAGTGTAATAAGGGTACCTGATCCCACTTGTGGTGAAAAGTATTATATAATACTTTTATGATAAAACAAGGGTTTTCGATCTATTCTATCGGTAATCACGTAAAAACGTTCGGGATACTTGGAACGAATATAATATCCAAAGTTTAAGCAACGGTGGCTTCTCGGAATAGATTAAATTATAGTTGGACAGTAAAACGCGTGTTTTAGATTTATTTCGAGATAAATGGGTTACATTATTAAGGTAGGTGCATTATGATCGTGTGACACTCATTATCTCGGAAAATAGAAAAATTAGTTTATTTGTTTAAGTGACAAGTAACTCTTAAATTTTACATTTGCCTCACTCGTATAATTGAGGTGTGAAACTAATGTGTTCACTGCCACACTTTGATTACCAATTGGCAACCTATATGCATATTAGAAATTCAATAAAAATAAATAAACTTATAGTTTATCATGGTTGATCTTGGTTGAAACGAATTTCGGTATAAGAAATGTAATCACGGTCTGCATTCTAACAGAGATTCCACTTTTGAGTTTATTATTTTATGGATAGGGACTAGGGAGAGGGTAGTTTAAAAGAAAAAAAACGCCGTTAAATTTAATACTTTCTAATAATATGTATTATATTATTATATTGATCATTCTGTATACTATGTAGAAGGTCAGAAACGATTAAACCGGACATCGGAACTTGGGATGGAATTTTTTTTGTTTCGTATAATATTATCATTTTGCTTATAAGGTTTTATAAAGGATCAGCTACGCAAGTTTCGTCGGAAACATGTTAATATTATTTTTGTTGTTCAGCGACGTGTATATCCATAACTTTCGTGTGGGAGGGTATGAGTAAAGGTAAAAACGTACATTATTTTATTACGTGAACCGGAATCGGAATCAATTCATTTGACAGTCGAACGTGTTGTCTATGAGCATTTCATAGAGTTTCATTTCATCATTTCAAACAAATCATACGTTATATATTAATATTGTATCTTCCGAATAATTCGCAAAACTTCAGTATTTTTGACTTTTGCAAACGATAGTATTATTAAACGGTACATTAGTAATTTCGAATGACTACGCAAAATTTTAGAATAGAATAACCGACCCGTATAATATTGTGCGCGTTTCGAAAGAAGGATTTATGTTAGGTTAATTAGCTAGATTATCTTAAAAAGTCAAAAACTATGAATATTTATTTAGTAATTTTATCTTGTAACTATGTAGTCCACTAGGAAAACAAACTTGATTTATTGAGTTGGTTTTTTTGGATCCGGCTTTTAAATTCTCAATGTCGGGGTTAAGTTGAACAGAAAAGAATTCTACGATTTATTCACGAAACACACAATTTATTCAATTATTGTTTACTATACATCCACTCCCTTTGAAAATTCCTGTTATGTTTATGTAACGTAAAATATTGGAGGTACACTGCACGGGCACCAAAATCTTATTAATTTTAAGTTAAACTGAATATAGAAATAAAATTTACCATCCCCTATAGTGACTCTATCATTAAGAACATTTTTTATCTTGAGTATTTTAAATTCGTAGTACAATTTACTGCAATATTGTCATAAACGAAAAAACTTCAATAACAAACATAAGCACCTGAAATTGTCGACGATATCGTTGAAGAGTGGTACAAATTTCTTTGATTTTTTTTTTTTTTTTTTTTTTCAAGAATTGGTTTTTCGTTCTCGCTATAAAGTTCAAAAAAAAAAAAAACTTTAAACGGAAAGATACGTATATATCAAATAAATAAACGACTATAAACTTCGCGAGTTTTTGTATATCATTAGTATTTATTTATTTAAATGTAATAATTGCTTAACTTTTTTTTTTTTTAAGAGTTTTTAAAGAATAAATATTTTTCATTATACAACTTCGCAAAATCAACGATTATAGTAATTTATAACGAGTTATTAGCATACGGCTCTTATTATCATACATTAAGTTAATAATAAACTTCTTTTCGTCGCAGGGCACGGGGGAAAAAACAAATAACGAAAGCAATAAATAATTTGATTGTATTTCTCTTGTTCGAAAACAATATTATGAATTTTATTTTCCTTCGACACGAAAATGATTTCATTAATTCCTGTACATGCTGCAAACCATTTATTATTTTTTTTTTTATGTATATATACATATATAGTTTACAAACTTATATTATATACTAATAATGCGCCCCAAAAAATATAGGTACCGGGGATTCATAACAATTCGCATGTAGATTAAATTGTCAAAAAAAAAAAAAAACCATTACAAAAACATTAGAGAGCAATAACAGTACTCATTATTTATCGTCCAATTAAAATAACGATATTATAATAATGGCCATAATCCGAAATAAATATTAATTTTTTTTTCATTATGAACATTGGTACTTATAGTATATTTTTACTTTTAAAAAACGCATACAACACACCTGTATATATAGGGTTACCGAAAGTATGACTGACGAAAACGTCGTTATTATCCGAGAGAATTATGCGACCGCTGCCGTTTGTCTAACACGAAGTTTACCCTGTAGGTATTTTATTATGATAAAATACTTGCGTCCGTTGAACTTTTTATAATTTAAAAAATACTCTATCGTATAAAATGCCACATTGTCTACCTGACTGATAAATTAACTAGTTAAGTAGGTACTAAAAAAAAAAAGTTTCTTAACTGGTATACATTATTTCATGTCACCCAAAAACTCTACACTCACCCTCGTATAAATATTTCACCGAACTTTTAAACTGCACTGCAATTCGATTAATGCCATTTATACGCGTGTTGATTATTTGCTTGCATGTACTCACGTTAGAAAGCTAATTGTTAGATGAGATTCTGAGTGTAACGAAGAAGACGTTAATTTTGCTAAGATTTGGGTTTGTTTCGGTTAGTAAATACGCTCCGATTTTTTTACTCCGTATATTAAAATATGCAGTATAATACGTTATTTGAACAAATGTTTGGAAAAATGTTCAAACAATTGTTGTTGATTTCTGAATTACTTCGACTTCAAAAGAAAAAATACGACTTACTACCTAGGTATTAATACTTCTCTGCTCAAAATCGTTTTTTGATAGCAATAGTTTATAGTAGCTGATAGTGAATACAAATTCAATTTCCATATATATTATGACCTTTCAAACTTCTCATCCACAACAATGATCTACCTATGGTGTGAAATACGTCAGGTTTTTTTTATATTCTGAGAAGACCCCTTTGCTATGATAATATGTGTATGATATATTTTTTTTAACTGTCTATAAATAACTTTTGTTCCAGAAATCTTACACCAAACAAAAAGAAAAACGACAAAATATCTTTCTAGTAGAATTTTGAATTTAGTTAGTATAGTGGGACGGTCATTTTTGACTTTTTTTGTATTTATCATTATATATGGGAAAACTCGAAAAAAAAAACTTATAGGAAAAACAGACGGATTTGCAACAACGAGAAGTTTCAATATTTTCGATTTTATTTATTTACCGAAAATCTCGTTTCGTAGGAAATGTATAATTTTGTGTGATTGGGAAAAAACGTAGAAAAACGGCAAAGTATACGGCATCGACGGTTTCATTTTTATGTTGAAATTCAAATATTATTCTTTCGTAGACGTTGTAAATTTGTCAATATATTGTAGTGATTTTTGGTTTATTTATAGGTATTTGACATTTCCGAAATTATGTATAAGTGAATAAAAGTTTTTGGCCAAACAAAAATATTTGAATATTAACA